AGCTCACAGCCCCCAAGGATTACAAGACTGTTTTCAATGTGATCCCCCAAGCACAGTACTGGACAAATAATCATTACCAATGAATTGGATTCATTTCTGTCAATGTGGCATCTCTGTGCATTAATTCTGGAAGGATTTCTGCACTATCAATGACATTTTTTTCTCTTATTTATCAATTTTGCTATTCCCATTGCCTGGTTTCAGTACAGACAAATACTTTTCCCATTACGCTTTTGCTCACATTTATGAGGTGTCATTAGGCTTACTCCCACTGATGGCGAAACAGGGAGGGTAACATTCTGCCCACAGACTGGACTGATAATACAGGTGAGACTGAAGATCAGATGCCCTGACTCTGCCTCCTCTCTGACCAGCAGGATAATAGCAAAGAACACAAATCCTCAGCTTTTTTGAAGCGCTTTTTACAAAGGAGTTGCAGAGGAGGGTGCAACTACCCCCTGTAACTTAGCACTAATTAAATATACTAGTTTTTAAAGTAAAAACCAAAAATCTAATGTGAAACTACTTGATACAATAGGTCAATTTCTCCTTGAATTTTCTCCTGTGAATTCTCTTCTATTTTTAGGTCTTTTATTTTTAGGCTGCTGCATGCTATCACTGGGCAGCTCGACCAACTATTAATTGGAAACGTTTTACTTCTCATGCAGTTTTCTTCCTCTGCTTTCTGCACCACTGAAACCAAACTGTCCTCGAGATGACAGGCTGCAGAGAGCACATTTAAAGGACAGTTACAAGCTGTGCTCTTCAGGCGCAGTGTGGCACTATTATAAACCTTTTGCTGTTCTCTCCTCCCACACCTGCGTACGTTTGTGTCTGTGCACGCATTTTTCTTAAGCCATGTCAAACTTTATGGAGTATTAGGGCCATATGGCAGCAGTTCAGCAAGCTCTCAGTGTGCAGCTGAGATTAAAAGCCTCCCCGAGCACAGTCAGTGGAGTCCCGTGACAATATCCGTGTGCCGTATACGGTGCTCGGTCATGACAAATAGATCCGAATGATCTGACACGGGGAGGGGTGGGAGCTGGCAAACCCAGCAGGGCACTTCACGGCTGCAGGTCCCCGCATTTTTGGCAGCTGCGTTACAGACTTTGAGGTGCTGTGCCACCCAGCCAAGTTTGAAACTGAACTTAAAGAGCGGTACATGATCATAACCGCTATTTTTAATACTATTGTCACTACCTTTCTCAGTAACCTAGACAACAGTGAAAACCTCATTTCTTTCCCATTCCAGAGCACTGCTACACTATCTCGAACTACTGCTCGAACTGAAGTCAGTGACAAAGCACAAGTTGGGAATAAAATCAGCCCCTGTTCAACTGGCATTTCATTTAAAGGGACTTAACATTTGCTGGGATATTTAACTCTGCAAAGCTCACATGCCTTTGCAAACGACCACTTTAAAATGCTAGCTAAAAATATTTGTGTTATCTGAAGTCAGATGAATAAATCCTCCCTGCTGCTGGGTACACAGTGTGGCAGTGTACAATACAACTGCAAATGTATTTGTTAGAAACTGTACATCTGTTATGATTTACTCTTGCCAAAATATAATTCTTTATGGCAACAATTGTTTCATGGTGCTTAAAGTTTTTCACCTCTGTGCCAGGAATCTCATATGGGATAATTCCATGACCTTGGAATCCAGCAGATACATTCCACATCTGTCTGGTCTGGGAAAGCCCGAGTTTGTTGTGTGAAAACCATAGTGGGAAAATAAGACCTGGAAATATCTGAAAATACAGAAACTGCAGGGCTGCTTCTTTTTTTTTTTTTCTTTTTTTAATTACCGGTTTCAAGTGCAGTAAATCAATCTCGCGGAAGCAGTTACTTTGCTTTTGTAAGCAGACATTCACTTCTGATCCTATCTTCAAATTAACGAATATGGTATAAACATTAAAATAATTGTATCTCTGGAAAAAATCACAGACTTTAAATATTAAAACTAAATCTTCTTGAAGGCTGCTTGAGATATAAATGGAAAAGCATCCAACCTACTGCAAGTAAACATCTTACTGATGCCTGTGAAGATTTAGGATGGCAGAAAAACTCTCGCTGTCCTGGAATCTCAGGGTAATACTTTTAACAGAAAATGAACCAGAAACAGTATTATGAGCAGTGAACTTAAAAAGCCCTGGTTTCCTGTGACTCTTCCCTTTGCACATTTTCTGTTATTTGGCTGAGCTCGTGGTGCAGCCTTGCTTTCCATGGGGCACTGTAGCATTTTCATGCACACAGCCTGCACCTCAAATAACCTGCACCCTACTACAGTCTGTGCAACACTGGAGATAAGATGGTGGCCAGAAAGCCACGAAAAAAACCCATTATACAAAAAAAAAAAGACAAGGTGAATGTGCTTACTTGACTGAAGGTGGAGACTAAATATTCTCGTCCATACTAACCAGGATGATATTGCTGTTTTAAAGCAGGAATTGCTGTTCTGATCATCTTGGAGGCTGGAAGTCTCCCTTTCAAAGGGGTTTAATGGTTGTACTTCAGTCTGCAAATCCTGAAGGTGCCAATTCACTTATAGGCTATGTCTTTCTGCAGGACCAATATACTTAAAAGACAGTATCCCAAAGGGATGTCACAGAGGAAGGCAGCATTGCAGGCTAATAAGAAATCAACAATTAATTGATGAAGTTCACACAAAACTGTGCTAGGAATTTAAAATTCATGTGCGATCCCGAGTGTCTTAGAGAAGCTTTTATGATAGGAGTCACAAGATCCCACTTGGCACCAGTATTTGTGATGCTGGTGCACCAAAGCTTTGTAAATTGGTAACTGATTTGTCTAAGGCATGCCATGAATGACTGTGGTTATAATAAATGAGTATCTTGCCCCAAAACTGCATGGCAAAGCTTAGCTTTGTAATACTGGACACAGAGTACTCCAAAGGAGGCTGCATTCTGGTGATATATGAAATGCTTTCTGCATATATAGCAGCCAGACAAATTGGCTGCATTTTGAGTGTTTTGCATTATAAGGCCACAAACATCAAAAAACATATGAAAGAAGCTAATAACTTTTCAACATATTGTGACAACAAACCAGCCAAAACTGCTTTCAACCAGTTTGTAGAATAATGTGTTCCTGGCGGCTCGCATCAGTTCTCCTGCAGAAAAGTTTAACATCAAAGATGTAAACTCCTGTGAAATCAGGTTTAAAATATAAAGCTTAAACTATGTGTGAGTGGGCACAAATACACTGCAGCACAAGAAACAGTTGATACTGGATGCTCACTCTTTAAGGCAGAAAAATACAGGCAATTTCCAAAGTGTGAAACTGTTGATTTACAGCGGAAAGGTAAGGTGAGCAGATACTTTATTATTGTGCAGTACATGGTGTTAATACTTTTCTGCTCATTCAAGTCTTAACAGCTGTTCCATGAAGAGGGGGAAAATACAGGCCCTTGGTAATTCTTAACCAAGCTGCCAATTTTCCATATGGGATTCGATGGCTAAGAAAATCAGGTTTTCCTGGTCTCGTGCTGCTGCAAGGAATAACAGGACACTTAGTAACACTAGTAGAAATAAAAATTTTTCTTATATACTAAGTATCTTGTTAATGAAGAAAATCCCTATCTAGTATTAGTCTCTTTTATTCTGACACTATTGTTTTGAAGGGGCACTGCTCGTCATGTATTTAAAGTTCTTTAAGTGCCCATCTGTGTGATATACATTTGTACTGACAATTTTGTGAGCATCAGAAGAGAAACTATGTTCATAAATCAAGCATGTATTTCAGCACCACCATCCAACATCCAAGAGGAAAGACAGAATGAAATTTTAAGTGTCAGATATTGATTACGAACCAAATTCTGGCTGCCTTGGATAAAGGCACCTATCCAAAAATGCACAGATAAGGAGCAAGCGAAGGAAAACCTGTTGGCCTCTAAGCCATTGCAGTGGGTGCTGTACAACCTCTTTATCACCTGAGCGGGGCAGGGTCTTTTTCCTCCTAAACCACAACACAGCAGCCTGACGGAGCCAGAGATGTCCTCTGGGTACATACAACTGGATCCCAAGGCAACACAATGACACCAGCTTCCTTCCACCCATCTGACCTGCCTTCTCCCAGTGAGGGAGGGATTCAGATTACCTCCTCACTCCTGTGCCACCACTGCCTTGTTGCTGGTCGTGCAACATCTGGCCTGGGATGTGCACTTGAGCTGTCACCACATATGTCATTCCCTGTCTATAGATTTGTGTATGAACGCTCGCAGGTGGCACTGAAAAGCTCCTGCTTCAACACATACACAATCGTATCCTAATGCTGTCTTGTTATTCTTAGTCTGGGTCTCTCTAATACCTTTTTATAACTTGTTGTATCACAGCGCCTAGGTATTTGTATGAGATACCAAGGATCCAAACATTTATGTCAGAGAGGGAGGAAAAACCCTGTTTGCAGAAGTGAGATGGTGGAACTGAAGTGTCAGATAATCTCCCAGAGAGATATCAGCGTTTTCAGCTGCCTGACAGATCTGTCTGCCTGTGTGAGAGTAAACAAGAAAATGGCTCAGCCGTTTGGACTGAGTTTAAGGCAAAACAAAGAACAAATTATCCATTTTCAGATCAGGTCTCCTGCTCCAGCTTACAGATGTTTGTTTGTGATTTCCCCTGTAAGTCCCTTTGGGAACAATGACCAATGCACTGTGTGGCTGGCCAGCCCTGTTAAAGTATTGGCAATTTAAACAAGAAAAATCTGATGTATAAATCAAACCTTCAAACAGTAAATACACTAGACACACCTCAAAATTCCTCTGCATCTTCAATTTACTGGAAATTAGGGATCGTCCCACTTAAGATATTTCATGGAACTGGTGTCTGAGTTCATTTGTATTTTGATCAATCCTCCTGGTTTGAGTGGAGCTAGTTCAGATTTATGCTGAAGTAAGAGATTAAACTGAACCCCAATGCCTTTAATACAAAGTCTTGATCTTTACCAGGAAATGACAGAGCTTATCAGGATGACAATCTTACCTCTGTAATAATGAAGAAATCATCACCAGGCTCTCCCTGCACAACAATTTTTTCTCCATCTTCAAACTGGACAGGTTCCAGTGCATCAGCCACTGTCAGCCGCTCCCATTTGTCCAAGGACTCTAAAATATTGAAGATCATACAGCTTTATTATGGAAAGACTCTAACTTTGGCTGAAGATTCATATCTAAACAGACGGCTCTGCTATGCCTGGTGCTGTTATAAAAGAAACATTTCTTTCATCCAGGCACTTTGCATGAACCTCCAGTCGGGAAACATGAATGTATTTATTCATTGTGTCTTAGACTTTAGTAATCACCCAGATAATAATCTTAAAAGTTGGACAGGAAAAGCTGGCTGCAGTTCCCTCTGCCTGTGATCTGCTCTGCGCTGCCCTGACGCTGCAGTGGGCTGGAGCAGCCGAGGAGCTGGTTGGAGACACCGGCGATATAGAAATGCCGAGATCCTCTCTTGCCACATCCCACACCAGATGTCGGAACAAGTCCTACTGTCTTTTTGTCAGAGTTGCTCTCAGCTGGTTACCGATGGCCTGCTAGATAAGCAATGCTAAGTGTCAATCCAAAAGATGATTCCTCCTCCGTGGGTGAGACCCCGCACCGCTGAAGCCAGCAGCAACACCCCAGCAGCACGGGTGGCAGTGGGACCAGGGGCTCAGCATGGATGCTTAAAGTGGCACCTCTGTTACATTTGCCAGTGGGATGGCTTACAAAGTGGTTTTCTTTTCATTCCTCCACTTAGGGAGAAAAGTTATAAAACCTCAAAGTAAACTTTGATAAAAAAAAAACCACTGCTCTGTTTTATGAGTAATGGAGCTAATCCAGCCTGCTTCCTGCGCCTTGGTGTCCTTATCACCCACCTGCAGCTGCCACAAATCCCCTGTGACACCTACAAGGCAAGAAACAGCCTGCACAGCAGCTCACCCAGGACTGCTCACTGTCCTGCTGCCTTCCTCCACTGCGTTTGGTAAGGGATGGATTTTATACATCCTGCCCTTGGGGAGAGGAAGGGTGCCAACCTGTGTCTCTCCTCTACCCATTTGCATGAGAATTCAAGACAATTAATTGTACTTGAACTTCTGTGCTTTTATCAGATTTGACGGAAAGAGGTGACAGGTGTGAAAGTTACTAAAAGAAAAAGATAATACAGTGATATAACCTCCACTGCCTCAAAAAGCTGGGCTAAAATTCATGTACTAGAGCTCTGCTGATTCTCACTTCAGAATTACTGCATTACTGTAAGTCAAGACACGCCTCCTGACACCAGGATTCGATCTGGGCTGTTCTCTCAGACTCTAGTTATCCCATTTTGTTTAAAATGTTCCTTAGAAGTGTTGTGTAAGGGTGAAAGAGACTTTTGGCTGAGCTCAGAAGTGCACACTCAGTCTGGTAACAAAACCACATCGACGTGATCAATGGACCAAAGGTAATTTTTGAGTTGCCTGGCACACATACATCTTCATGTTTTTATGTCACTTTCTGTTGCTGTTTGGGAAATTATTATTTTTAATATTTTCCCAACCTACATAACTAATGCACTTTTCTGGTGTATTTGTGGCCTTTGCTGCAGAAGCATTAAATATCAAAGAGCAAAAGCTTATATGGTCAATGCAACATTCAGAAAGTGCTGTTCGACTAAAAATAAGCATAAAACTCTTTCATTCAGACTACAGTAGGCTTTTTCCTTTTAGAAAAGAAAAAAGAAGTCGGTAATTAACAATGTCAAGAAAGAGTCTTTTGAAACTTCTTCAGTTGGCTTTATGAAAAATTCAAAGCTAATTCTAGCTGTAGTCATGACGTGTCTCTCTTTTGTCTAAGGGAATTGTACCACTACAAATACATTGGTTAATGGTTCTTGCAAGCAGAGCATTATACAGAAGATTGTACATGATAAAACTCCTAAGTTTTAGTTGCAGAGTTAAAGTCAAGCATCAAATAAAGTAGACCATATGCAATTTTTTGCAATTTCTAAATTGTACATATCAATTCATGGCTTTACATTTAATTAAACTCCAGAAGATTTTAAACAATTATTTTTCTCATATCTTGTTCAATGCACTATAAGCAGCTACTAATAATCTAAAAAATCCTTAGATTAAAAAAAAATAAATTGCTCTTATAAGGCTAGTTACAGACCCTACACAAGCCTTGAAAAAACAGATAGAAGAAGCAAGTAGAGGCTTTTCCACAATGAAATCACCAAGTTCTGATCACATTAAGGCATGAAGTGAAGTTGACTTCTCAGCGCTATGTTGAGATTTCTAAAATACCTTTCTGTTTCCCAGCTGTGATCTACTTTTTAGACATGTGAAATAGATCCTTACACATTTCACCTAAATTCTTGATGCTCCTGAAATGATGTGTTATTTCGTCTGGTGCTTTTCCGTACTTAAAAAAGGTTCAAATCTTGAAGTCCTTCCTCATTTTTTACCGAGAGTAAAAAAAACATACTACAATCTAGGATATAATTACATTGCAAACTGCATGTTTAAGGAAACACATCTTTGAATAACCTTTCTACTCTGAAATTGTTTTGAGATGTCTCATTGTTGTAATTGCTCCTCATTAGTGCAGGTGCAGAGATATTTTTTTCTTTAACTACTCATTGTAATTTGGTATAATTTGTGCTCTTAATTTAGGAAGATTTAAATTAAACATAACAGAAGGCATTTAAATGATGAAAACGTCATTAATAAGTGAGCACCATACTTGGCCTTACTTTAAACATACAAATGTAATTGAAAATTTCATGCATAGCACCTTTCTGAAGTTCAAGTGTATTTTCACTAAGACGATCTCGTATTTCAGGTACCTAAGCTCAAATGGTGGATGAATACCACAAACAAGAAAAGGAAATTGTTTAAGTAGACATATAAATACTTTAATTATATAGCAAATTAATCCTGAACTGTTTTTTTTTAAAAAAAGCCCCAGCAGAAACACCATGTTTCTTCTAGAGCATCAACATTTCATTGTACTGTCTAACACTGTCCTCCTTATTAGAAGCTTTTGTGCTCCTAATGGTGATTGATTGGTCAGGCATTATGGGGTTGTTGTTTTTCCTACGAAAGGCCATCAAGAACACGTCCAAATTTTGTGGCTATCACATTAATCAAAGGGAAACAAAATCCAAGGACAAGAAGCTAAACAGATGTTTTAAGAATGTGAGACAGGGGCTATAAAATACACAGAAGAAAAAAAAAATCAGTCCGTTTTGATTTGTGAGGTTAGTTTGTCTAGTGCACATAAATACAGTATTCTCACAGGAAAAAGCTCCTCACCTGTCACCTGGAAGGATGGAACTAGGCTTCCTGACAAATTCATATCTCTGCACTGCTTCCTCCTCTACCCATACGCTCTCTACTGCAACGGCCGCTACCAAAAGGTGACCAGTGCATGCCTGCGCCCATATTTAGGGAAA